GAACTTTCACCTCTTTATTATTACATAAGGTAAAGTCATAGAAATTAACACAAACTTGGCTGAGATGGAAGACACAAAAACTTAGTATTTCTGAAAACCAACAAGCGTGCCTATGACTCAAAGAAAGATTTTTTGCCACAGAGGCTGTAAGCTGCACAGAAATGGGGAGTCCCTGATGAATATTCAAAACTGGGGTCATGCCAGCAGAGTAAAAATTTGGGTAACTGATCCCCACAGCACCTGAGAGCAGTATTTCTCACCAGGATTCCTGTGGCCTTTCTTTTGTGGGCCCCAGAATGTTCCAAGGGGGGGGGGGGGTCACAGGTGAGAATCAAATAATTAGGGGCTGGGCAAGGGAGCACAGGGAGCCAACCAGGAGGAGTGGGGAGGGGAGCATAGGAAGAAAGCTTAGTGGGAAAGGTAATGGTTGCCTAATGTCGTTCTTGAGGTCTCTTCCTGTATCTGCAATGATGCAGATACAAAATGTCTTCAACAAGAAGGTAGTGTACATAGGGTTCCTTCCTTTCAGATGGTATCTCTACAGTCCTTTGATTTTAAAATGGCCTCAAGGGGCTGGAGAGATAGTACAGGGCTAAGGTGCTTGCCTTTCATTCAGCTACTCCAGGTTCGATCCCCAGCACTGTACTGGGTCCTCCAAACCCTGCCAGGAGTTATCCCCGAGCACACAGCCTGGAGTAGACTCTCAGCATCCCCTTTGTGGCCCAAAAACAAACAAAACTGGCTTTTGCCTATAGATCTACCACCAAAGATAAATTTTCTGAGGTAGTCTTCTTTCCCCTTCAGCAACGTGGCCACGTTATGAGACCCCGAGGAGATGAATTAAAAGTTCTTCTTTGAAATCATCCCCAAACCAGGTGGCTGCAGGATCAAAGAGGGAATTATGGCAGAACATCTAAACTGATCCTGTAATTGAGGAGTGCTTTTAGAGCCCCAGGAATTGGGAGGAGGGGTGTTATAAGGCAACAGTCAGAATTAGGATATCATCTGTGATTAAGTTCTAAAATCTAAATCTAATTTTCTATAGAAGGTGTTTGAGTCACAATTACTGACATTTGAATAGAGAGGCTAGACAATGCTTTAAAGGGAGGCACAGCTATTGTAACAGGAGGAGGGTGGAAATTCATTTCTCTGCCTATGACAGCCTCCTCAAGGCAAAGGAAGCCCTCCTCATTTAATGCTGACACCGGGATGTCTTGGAAAAAGTTATCTGTAGTGACTCTCCAGATGTCTTAAAGGGCATTTAAAGCATTGTGCGCGCCTGACAGTATGAGGTCTCCCACTCACATTTGTAATTTCTCCAAAGTAAGGAAGCCACTCTTTTAATCAAAACAAGGCAGCATATTCTTTTGTGTGTGACTGGGAAAAATAGACAAAGAGCAGCGGCTGGAAAGGAAACCGAGCTGCCTCCTTTGGAAAGTTGGGAAGAGCAGGACCCAGCAACTGAAAAAAAAAAACCGTATAGATATCAAAGTGTGAATGGTGCCTGGACAGTGGGTACGTCTGGGAGAGCCCAGACCACTGTACTGACCAGCTCTGTGCAGGAATAAAAGGTCCCTCCCCAGGCTGAGGAGGAGGACAGATCAAATGAAACAGGTCACTGTATTTCATGGAAAACATGTCCAGAGCACGAAACCCTTTCCCTGTTCTGGCCAGAGAACTGATGCTCTTCTTAGTATATCTGGTCACCAGATAGAATAATAATTACCATGATGATGACAATATTAGGATTAACGATGGAAGTACTGAAGTTGCTGAAGTGTTAAACACATGCTTACCATTTGAACCATCATCCACTCCAATTACAGATTAGGGAATTGAAACACAAAAATGTTAAGACACTTGCACAATAGAACAAACTCTTTGGGTGCAGGGCAGGAGGGGCTAGGGCTAGGAGCTGCCAACAACCAGAGGTGTTCGGGGCTACTTCTGGTTCTGTGCTCAGGAGTCATTTCCAGAACCACATGGTGCTGGCAATCAAACCAGGATCAGCCACATGCAAGACAAGTGCCTTAACCCCCGTTCTGCTCCGGCAGCTGGGATTCCATCCAGCAGATGGGCTCAGGACTTGCAGACCTAAACTTCCAGCAGCTCTTAGAGCAAAAGCACTGCAAACCTGACCCCTCCAACAGCATAAAATCCTAAAATGTATCAAAACTAGGATCAGAACAGCTGATAATATTGACAAGGACTCACCCGATAGCTTTGTTTGACTAAAACCTTTTTCTTGAGTCACTTTACAGGTAGTTTCATCTGGAAGGTACGAAACATAATAATGGGGCTAAACTTTAGTCTGTTCTGACCAACAGACCTTCTATTTTATAAGAGAAATGACATTTGCTGCATCATTCTGAGTGATCCTAAGGCAAGGAGGTCCCAAAGCTCCAGATTCCCAAGAAGGTGCATATTCCTGGATCCTACAAGGAGACTGATTCCAGTCAAGATGTCTGAGTCTGTGTATTAATTAACAAGAGGCACTGATGAGTCTGATTCTGTGGATGGAGACACCAACTCTGACAATTCTGGCCGAGCCACTAAGAAATCTCATTTGAAATTTCAGAGCAAAGATAGGGTTAATGATTCCCTTCCTCCAATAAGAGATTGCTATGATGGAACTCAACACCTCAGATGACAAGATGACAAGATGACAAGACTGCCAAAGAATAATGTTCTAAGTAGCACTGCACTACACTGTCCTCCTGTTGTTCATCGATTTGCTCGAGTGGGTACCAGTAATGTCTCCATTGTGAGACTTGTTACTGTTTTTGGCATACTGAATATGCCACGGTAGCTTTCCAGGCTCTGCTGTGCACGCAGGATACCCTTGGTAGCTAGCCGGACTCTCAGAGAGGGATGAAGGAATCGAACCCTGGTCGGCCGCATGCAAGGCAAACGTCCTACCCGCTGTGCTATTGCTCTAGCCCACTGCCATATCAATGGGGGAAATACCACCAAAGACCCCACTCGAGAGTTAAGAGTTAGTATGATGACCCGGAAGCATTCCAGAAGGGAGCACATGAGGGCACGGCAAGCCAGGGAAGGGCAAGAGTTCAGCTGCTGGCTAAGTTAGGGGCAGAGAGCTGGCATCAGATCGGGGCCCCGGGGCTTCTGAAATGAACTCAGTTGCTTCCCTTCCCTTCCCTTATTGAGTGGAATACACATGAATTCTCTGTACTTTGGTTCTCAAGTCATCTCTCTGTAACATTTTCTTCACAGCTGATTTGTGTCAGGCGTTCTAGGGGTTGACACCATACAAAACACCACAGGCAGCCCCAGCACACACATACACATTCACCACATGAAGTAGTTCCTTGCTTGTTTTATTTAACAAAGGTGAGGGAAGCCTTGCAGACAGCAGCCACTAGAGGCCAGAGCCAAAGGAACATGTGTCTGAACTATTTCTCAAATCCTCCCTCTCGCCTGTCCCCACATGGCTGTCAGCTGCCAGGAACCTTGTTCATTAAAGCTAGGTCTTTCCAGACACAGAAGCTTAACTTTCTATTGTGTCACAGTCCTGTCTCATATATGTCGACGTTCCTGAGGAACTTACACAAGTATTTGCAGAGGAATATGGCTTCCAAATTTGTGTGGCTGAGACCCATAATTAGAAGTCCATCTCACATAGGCCCATTGGTTCATCCAAATCACTTAATATAGATTGAATGTTATTCTCCCTGGTGCTGGCACTGCTGTGATATGGGGGGATCTACATTGAACAAAGCAGTCTGAAATCCTCGCTCTGGCACAGCTTATGTTCTTCTAGGGAAAGTAGATGATGAGTAAGTTCGATGCTCAGGAAGTGACAGCACAAGGAAGGAAAAGCAACCAGAAAGGGTGGGCAGAGGATGCAAGGATGCTGAGGAGGGAATAGCAGAACAGCCAGGAAAGAGGACAATGAAAATAGGACACTGAACAGAGCTCTAAGAGAGGAGGAAGGAAAGGGCCACCATGCACGGGCCTCAGGGAAGAAAAACTTAAAAAAAAAAAAAAAAAAAAAATTCATGTTCTAGAAGTAGCCATGAGTGTTCTGGTTTCATTTTTTTCTTTTTCTCTTTATGTTGCCACCTATGGGCTTTTGTGAAATCACGTTGCTATTTCCTTCATCATCAAATGAAGGGGTGACACTTGATCTTACAAGACCTTTTGTGGCTTTAAAGTTTCCCTGCACCTGTGTGCTACAGAGCTTTTTGTGTCTAATTTAGGCAGGTAGGTGTGTGTATGTGTGCGTATATATGGTGTATGTGTTTATATGTTTACGTTAAGCAAAAATGGTGGAAATTTTTCCTAAAACAGGCCTACCCTGTTTACATAATTGAATAATTTCCCCCTTTTTGTTCCGTTGCATGCTATTTCTTAAAATACAGGATGCATCTAACTAAATTGATTTCACTATCAACTAACACCTTAAAGAACTGTTTACAGACACCACAACCTTCTTGGTTGCAGAAAATGTGGTATCTGTAAAGCTACACACTCAGAAAAGCAAAGCTACCAGCGACCCCAGCCAGAGCTGTTGTGTGTCCCCAGCTACCAGCCACCCAGAACGCCTGCCTGTTCACAAAGGCCACAGAGCCAGAAGGGAGACCAAAGTGCTTTGACAAGATTCAGAGACCTCTAGCCTCAAATTCTGGTTCTGACATTACATTACTTTGACCTTAAGCAAGCAACAAGACTGACACAATGACATGAAGGTTAAGGTTTCTTATCAGTATAATGGGAAATGATGATAAGGGAAATAATAAAATATATATTGGGTGAATGGCACTTAATAAACAGGCGGCAGCACTGAGAGGATGGTGGAGGCAAACCAGTGTGAAAAGAAACCTTATCTTTCTGACCCTCAGCCCCTTCAAATGTAAGTGAAACAGAGCTAGATATTGTGAATGCCATAATTATCCGAGCAAGAAATGTCACAAGAGAAAGAATGTGTGATTCCGACATGCATTTCTCTTATTCCTAAACCCTCTCTCCTCCCTCTTCAGCAAACTCTATGGAAATGGATTTGAGGAAATACAAAGTCACGCCTTCAACGGGACGACGCTGATTTCGCTGTGAGTATGTGCTTATGCTCCCAGCTCATGAATAAAAATGAAATATTACTCAAGCTAGCACATCATATTCAATCTGCAGCAACTAACTCAGGACAAAAATAAACTTTCAAGTGGCTAGTCCTCGGTGCTTCACGCATGTTACTAAGCAACCGGCTGGGTAGAAACCCCAGAGCACCCTGATTTCAAAGACAGATGCAGCCTGGATGCATTGGAGTTGACAGTGTGCTGAAATATTCAACACCCTCCTGGCGGCTTCTCTCCCACAGCCCTCTCCAGCCCCCTCTTTCCAGCTGATGGTGTGTTAGAGGCAGCCCGATTTCAGAAAGAAAAGTCTTCCCCTTGACCTTACTGCAGAGACATCACGTCCTGCCATTTGCCAGTTCTCAGTCATCCCAGGTCCAAGTCTACTCACAGACCTTTCTCCCCGCTGCTGGGAGCTGAGGGCTGGGGAGCCCATGTCTCACAGGGAAAATGAGCCCCAGATTCTTCAACCCGCTCTACTTGATCCTAGTATTCACAGCCTCTGTGTCAGGAAAGCATCCTTCCAGTTTTCTACCTGGTTCTCTGCCACCCTTTCCACACCTCCTTTTCTAGAAAAGAAACTCATCCATGATGCTTGTGGCTCTGGGTTTGTATGAATCTCAGCAGGTATGGGGGAAGTTGAGGCTCACCCTAAACAGGTGTAAAATTAAAACTCAGAGCATGAGAAAGACTCAAACTTAACACCAGAGTTTTAAAAATAATAAAACTATGTTCTACACCAAAGTTTCTCAAACCATGTTGTCTGCCTAAAGTAGGCAACATAATAATCTGGAGAATGTAACTATGCAGAATCCTGAACCTCACCCCTGAAACAGGACCAGACCTCAAAATTTTCTATTTTAACGAGCTCCTGAGAGATGCTGATGGATCTAAGGGATGCTCAGTCTATATGATACACCATTTACTTGAACAACAGATTTTAAATCAGGGTCCTGTTAAATTGATTAGTTTGGGATTGGGTTTGGGTTTGGCAAAACCCAGTGCTCAGGGCTTCCTCCTGGCACTATGCTCACAGATCACTGCTGACAGTGCTCAGAGCACCATTCATGGTGCTGGAGACTGAATCCCAGTCACATGCTAAGCAAGAGCCCTGTCTTCTCATGCTACAGGTCTTGGTGACTAAGAGGACACATCTAAGAGTGATTGAGGGTACTCAAATGCCAATCCTACTGCCTTGCACAAACTACTTAATTTATCTAAGCCAGAGTCTTCATTCACCATGCGGACTGTTCATATACTTATTTTGATGATACTTGCATCAGAATAACAGGTCTGCTTGTATCCTCACTTTAACACAGCACCCAGAAAAGGTTTGGTGCTAATTTACCAATTTTTTTAAAGTACAGAATGATGATGAAAGAGATCCTCTCACAAGATTCTATTTGGCAATACAAATTGTATTTTAGTCATATGATTTGGTTATAAATGGTAGCTTTTTCAAAATTGTCCTTCCTATCATGGAGAGAATATTTCCCTCATTTACTTGTTCACTTAAACTTAATGAAGAGATCACTCTAGCCATTTACGCTAGCCAACTGAATCTGTTTCTGCCAAATTTTAAATCAGAAGCGTGTCTTTGCCTAGCATAGTATTCTCAGATGTCTCGTTCTGTTATTCATTCAACAAGTGTTTGCCAAGCAACCGCTGTGTTTGAAGGAACCTATGATATTAGGAGATGAAATGAAGATGAATCAGCCATGGTGTTTGCCTTGAAGGAGTTTCCGGCACAGGAAGAAGCATCTCCAAATGGTGTATGAACTGTACACTAAGTAGTAACAGAAACAGAAGGCAAAGCCTGACTCCTGCCTGAGAGAGGCAAAGCCCTCTGGGATTTTAAGGGCAGAGAGAAGGAAATTAGTAAAAGCCTCATCAAAGAGGAAAACTCTGAGCTGGGCCTAACTTAGACAGGCAAAGCTAGAGGGAACTGCATTCTTAGCAGAGACAAGCAAGAGGAAAATGGCTCTGAGGAAGAAGCATAGGATATATTCACAGATAGGCAAATGATATCAGTCAGAAAGTTCTAGCTGTAGCTTAGAGACAAAGCATTCCTGAAATGCAGAGGGAAGAATCTGGACTCTCATCTGTAGAAAGCTGAAAGTTCTTGGATTGCTGAAAGTTCTAGGATGGGAAGTATATGTACTTAAAGAAGAATCAAGGAGAGACAAGGAGGGTTGAGGGAGGCAGCCAGGACAAGGACTTTTGGGCTATGTGGATAGAGGGGTTGCCTGAAGGTCTTTGTAGCCCATCTAACATAGGGTCACCTGGATGAGGTGAATACAAAGACTGATGAAAAAGGACAGCAAGAGAGGGGATGAGAGCAGGGATGAGAGGTAAGGTGCAGCTCCCCAGGGACACAGGGAAAAGTGTCAGCAGAGACCCTCTGTGCTCAGGGGAGTGTCAGCGACTTCAAGGACATCAAAGTGGGTGAGGACTTTGCAAAGTACAATAAGTCAGAATCGTGGTTCCCTCATACCCCTGTTTTGTGACAAAGAGAAGACCAAAGACACAATGCTGTTTGCCAAGAACACCAATCAATTTCATTCACAAAATTCATTCGAGAAATGTTCAACAACAATACTCTGTGTTCAAGGCTGTTTCTGCACTGGCAGTGGGAGCATTCAGTTCCTATTGAAGGGAGGGTTCTGTGTTAGTACTTGAGGTAGACCCCAAAGGCAATTCAGTCAATTAATTGAGGGCTAGGAGATAGTACCATGGTGAGTGCCAGGCCTACCACACACCAGACCTGAGCCCAATTCCTGGGACCCCATGGTTCCCAAGATCCGCCAAGCTCGGACTTGGAGACACGCAGCACCAGCGCCCTGGGGCCGGGGGGGCAGGGGTTGTCTTTTGTAGAGCGGGAGCAAACAGCAGCAACAAATCCTCAGCCCTTGTGCTGAGCTGACAGCCCACGGGCAAACCCCCTGTGAGGGCCAGGACCTCCTGAGCACTGTTTTGGAGGCTGAACAGAGCAGTGCGGAGGTGTGGCTTCCTCAATGATCTGATATTTGAGGTCAGGCCGGGAGGATGAGGCATGGACCAGGGCAGCGCTGACAGCAAGAGCGTCGTGCAGAAGGGGGAGATGTGGGCAGGCAGGGAGAGTTAATACGCTCGGGGGAGACCCAGACACTAAGAGCTGCTGCTGGAGGCCCATTGGCAGGCAAGGCTGGCGAGAGAGAAACTGGTGCTGGATCAGGAGTCAATCGTGCCGAACGGAGGGGCATGGAAGGGAGCCTGAACTCTCTCCCCCAAGCGAGGGCATCCTTTGAAGGGTTTGATCAGAGTAAAATTACTTGGAAGACTAGTTTTCAAATGTGTCCCCAAAACTATTTCAGACTACACCTGATGGCATTCAGCATCTTTCCAGCACCCTGCAAAGTTCACAGTCATGTAGTGAGCTGGCCAGGGCAGCGCACAGCAGCATGGGGTGTCCTTGCATGTGCCCAGAGGCCCCAGGAGTCTGTCCCTTCTGCCACAGAGCACTCTGTTTAGGGATTTTCTGAGTTAATCAAGCAGAGGGATTGCCAATTGTGCCTTGAAAAGGTCACCCGCTGTGTTTTTCACACCTAGAAGGCCAATTTCCAAATATGATCCCTTCCAAAAGATGCAATAGATGGATTTGATTTATTTTTGACCAAGTTCCATCCTGCAAAGTCATTAGTATATAGAAATAACCAAACATTAATAAAACATATGAACTGCTGTCACGAAATTTGAACAATTAATTCGATCGGGCTGACGTGAGGGTTACTTGCTCTCAGAGCCCAATTACAATTTATGACCATAACTGAACATAATTAAGACAAGTCAGAGCAGGAAGAAGAGCCATGGAGATTGAGGGAATGGAGTTTTCTCTTAATTTTGATCCCAAGCAGCAGTTTTCTCTGTCCAGTATCTTTTGTTTGGTTGCTTGGAGTTTTGTTTTGTTTTCGGGGGCACATCTGGCTGGGCTCAGAATCATTCCTAAAAGGCTCAGGGGACCACGTGAGGTGCCAGGGATGGAACCCGGGTTGGTAACACTCGAGGCAAGAGCTCTACTGTCTGTACTCTCTCCGGCCAGACCTGTTTATCTTTAAAAGTGAACCTCAGCTTGGGAATGGGCTAGTGTGAGACTGATGGGAAAGGTCGGATGAAGGAGCTGAAGAATTCCACGGGAAACTGCTGGAGAAGCACCAGTTTCAGGACCAGGGTGAGGCACGGGCTTTGCAGCATTTCAATGCTGGGTGGAGATCCGCAGAAAGGTCGCTCCGCAGCAGTGGCACTGTCCTCCCATTGTTCACAGATTTGCTTGAGCAGGCACCAGTAACGTCTCCATTGTGAGACTTGTTGTTATTGTTTTTGGCATATCGAATATGCCACGGGGAGCTGGCCAGGCCCTGCATTGCAGGCGAGATACTCTCAGTAGCTTGCCGGGCTCTCCAATTTAGAGGGGCAGAGGAATCAAACCTGGGTCAGCCACATGCAAGGCAAATGCTGTACCAGCTGTGCTGTCACTCCAGCAGAAAAGTGTGAGGCTCTAAATCTCTGCAATGTGCCAGAGCGTATGGCAGGTGAACAGAGAGAGTTGCAGACTACTTGGCCCCGGACGCTGTTGGGCAGTGCCCTGGTTGCATCACATCACATCTGTGCTGCATCCACTGCCCAGCAGAGAGGAAAGAGAGTCCTCTTTCAGCCGTCGATAAGGAAGTGTTCCCTAGACAGCTGGCAAACCCGAGCCCAGGCAACAGCACCAGGGCATCAGGGCTCAGCTGGCCCCCGTGCAGTTTACCCTGAGCTGCTCCCAGCTAGAAAGGGCACAGAGGTTTCCAAGGTCTGAGGAGCAGAGCATCAGCCCTTTCATTGCGGTGAGCAGATGGCCAGCACAGCCGGGGACACCCAGGGTTGCGGCCATGCTTGCCCATTCCTTCCTTCCTTTCTCTCCTTCCTCCCCTTTGTCTTCCACTTAGAACTGTGTGGACGGAAAAGAGGTGTGTTGAAAGGGGTAACTCTGAAAGGACCCCGTTCTTTCTTTCTTAGCACTGTCTGTAGCACTGTCGTCCCGTTGTTCGATTTGCTTGAGTGGGCACCAGTAATGTCTCCATTGTGTTACTTGTTTTGGGCATATCGAATTTGCTTGCCAGGCTCTGCATTGTGGGCGGGATACTCTCAGTAGCTTGTCGGGCTTTCTGAGAGGGTTGGAGGAATCGAACCTGGGTTGGCCTTGTGCAAGGCAAATGCCCTACCCGCTGTGCTAAAGACCATCCTTTCTTTCTTAAGTATCTGAAAATTTCAACAAGTTCTTCTGAGAACTGACATGGAGTCTGAAGCTGCATTTCCACCTTCAGGCTTGGCCCCGAACAACCTATCACCCCTGCCCCCACTGTTGGGTGGGAATTTCCACAATGTCAGGGCGGCACAAGGTGTGGAGATAGTTAAGCTTAGGACACATGCTGTCCCCAAGAGAAAGCAAGAATCCAGAGAAAAAGTGGGACCGAACACATACCCCAGTCCTTCCCTCCTTCCTTCTTCCCCATGCTTTTCTCCCTCTTCCTTCATTCTTCTCTCCTTCCTTGCCCCCTGCCTGTCTCCTTTCCTTCTTTCCTTTTTTCCTCCTTTTTCTTTCTTTCTGCCTTTTTTTGTTTTTTGCTCTTGGGGACACACCTGGCAGTGCTCAGGGGTTACTCCTGCCTCTTCACTCAGGAATTATTCCGGCGGTGCTTGGGGGACCATATGGGATGCTGGGGATCAAACCCAGGTCTGCCAAGTGCAAGGCAAACATCCTACCTGCTAGACTATCACTCCAGCCCCTTTCTGCCTTTCTTTTCTTTCTTCCTTTTTCTTTGTCCTCTTCCTTTATTTCTTCCCCTTTCTTTTCTTTCTTCCTTCCTTTCTTTCTATTTCTTTCTTTTGCCTTCTTCTTTCCTCTTCCTTTCCTTCTTTTTCTTCCTCTCTCTCTCTAGTCCTTCCTTGTTTTTGAGCCACACCCAGTGACCATATATGGTACCAGGGATCAAACCAGGGTCCCCACCAGCAGGGCAACCTTACCTGTACCCTCTCTCCAGGCCACCCCCCAGCAGTGACCTTCTTCCCGCATCATGCACAGAACCCCCTTTCCCTGTCTCCTGTAACCCTGAGCACGCAATCCCAGCTGGCCCAAAGGCGTGACAGCTGTGCGGGGCTCTACACGAGGTGCCACGCCTCTCAGGACACTGTGTCCCTACAGGGAGCTGAAGGGAAACACACGCCTGGAGAAGATGCAGCATGGAGCCTTCCTGGGGGCCGCGGGGCCCAGCATCTTGTGAGTATGATGTGCGCCTTCCTTGCCCCACCTGTGCCCCCCCCACACTGTTTCCCCATGAGGGTGTGACCCAAAAGCTAAAAATAATAATTTTTCTGAGAATGGGGCCAAACAAAGATCAAATAAGTGAATAAACTACGAAGTGTGCCAGATGGTTGTGGAGGAGAAAATTTCACTGTGGGGACAGTTGGAAAGACAGAACTGTGGGTCCGGCTTAAGGTCTCTTAGTTCCCAAGCATCTGTTCTCCATGATCCTGATTTAAAATAACACACACACTCACCCCTCCAGATCTGCAAAGACCCATCCTTAATCTATCTGAGAAAGCAGCACTGGAGAGCTGGTTACCTAATTCATTAAAGACACAAAAACAGCAAATATCTGCAGCCCTGGGGATGGAGGGAAGGTGCAAATTCTGCTGCTGGAAGGTCCCACCTAGGGCCCCACCAGTCACCATCTACCCCTCAGGCCCCTGTTAAATCCTCCCAGGGGCTAGTCACTGAGCCTTGGGGCAGTTAGCTGGAGAGCCAGGCAAGGCTACGGAAACCCTTAGAAACTGTCCGCAGCAGCTACTTGAGAGATGGGTGAGGGGCCCAAGCAGTAGCACAGTGGCTAAGGCCAACTCGAGTTCAATTCCCGACACCCCGTGTGGTCCCCCAAGCCCATACCAGGAGTGATCCCTGAGCACAGAGCTCGGAGTAGGCCCTGCGCACCATTGGGTGTGGCCCCAAATAACAACAAAAAGAAATGGGTGGAAATTTTTAACTGCCACTGAATCTTCTTCCTCCTCACATTTCACTTGTTTGGCGAGTTCTTGGACATTGCCTCAAGTCCAGGGTAAAGAAGGCTCTCGGGGCTTATTCACACAAAACCTAAGTAGCATTCTTTGCGTGGATCCTTCGTCTATTTGGAAAGGTGCTTTCTGCTTCCCAGGTAGACGTGGCTAATGCAACATGAAGCTTCTTAAGAGCAGAACCAGCCATGCCCGAAGGGCTTGATCACTCAGAGATCCAGACAGCGAAGTCCTCAAATGTCCCCCTGGGGTACAGCACAAAAGCTGATATCACTGCGTTTGCCTGCGGTCTCATAAAGCATGAGTCTGTTAAGTGGCGTGAAGCAGAGGGAGAGTGTGTGAGAAAGGAATCGGAGGGGGGAGGGAAAAACTAGTGAAGGAACACAGGTCTGAGGAGTTATCACAAGCACACAAAAAAATAGTGGGGCACATTTGAAGAAAAGGAAACACTCAGCACAGCTTTTTTTTTCTCTTTAATTTAATTTTATGAGAAAATTAAGAAGGTAGGATGGAGCAAAGATCCCTCAGAACCTAGAATAATACACCTGTGGGGAGGAGATTTCGTTTCAAGAATCAATTGTATATATAAATAATAAAACAAGTAAATAAAAACGTCCTTGTCCCGTTGTTTTTCAGGGATATTTCCTCCACCAGACTGCAGGCCCTGCCTAGTGACGGGCTGGAGTCCATTCAGACCCTCATTGCCACATCATCCTACTCTCTAAAAACACTGCCTTCGCGGGAAAAATTCTCCAGTCTCCTGGAAGCCACTCTTACTTACCCCAGTCACTGCTGTGCCTTTAGGGACCTGCCACCAAAAGAGTAAGTCGAAAGCTAGAGGCTAGGCAGGGGTTCCGGTGCTTGTTCTATGGATGGTCCCCAGAGTACCAGCAGGAGTGACCCCTGACCACAGCCAGGACAAAGCCCCGAGCACCAACAGCCATGGTCTGACTGCACCCCATCCCCATCTATCCCCCACCGCACCCCCCAAAAGAAGGTCTGACAAGCTGTGATGGGCACTCCGATTTCCCACAGGACTGCGACTCCTTCGCTGCCTGCCTGCCCGCTTTAGTACCCAGCCATGGGTCACTTTCGGGTGGATGACAAGAGGGCGAAGCATCCTTAGAAAGTGACAAGGAGGAGTCGATTCACCCTGCAGTGAGGCGGCCTCTCTAGCCTGTTCTGGGCTGATTGAATTATAGCCTCAAATTAGGCTCTGATTTGCAGTTGCAGAGCAGAATACAGAACTCACATCTCAAAAATCAATTTCCTCTAAATCTTCTCCGAGAGCATCCTTTATTAGGGGCGGGCGGGTATACTTGCTGCTGTTGTTTATTTGAAAAGAAGAGCGGGACAAAGGCTCAAGAGGCTAGATTTTATGGGATGTCGTAGCCTTTAATAAAGAGGAAAAGGGACACAAAACATCATCATGGTGGGGAGGGTGTTTGCTTTTAAAATCTATTCTTCTCCCAGCTGAAGGCTATCTTCCAGTCGTAGCCGAATTCTCATTTTAAGGACTAATTTGGTGTGGGCACAGAAAGAGCACCAGCTCCTGTCCAGTGGGGACCATTTAACTGGTTTTTTTATGCCTTTGATGAATTTCTGATTTAGAATGGATTAGCAGGATGTGGAGGTTTTCATTTTTCTAAAAGCATTGTTTTTTTTCCATTAAGATTCATATTAAGAAACATTTTTATTACATGGTAGTGCAGCATCCATGTCACATGTAGAACTGACATAAAACATAGCAACATGTATTGCTAGATAAGACCTGCTCTTTTCTTGTCTATTGTAGTGTTTTAGTTCATCTTTATTTTGGGGGGGTTCTATTTTGTTTGAGAGGCCACACCCAGATATGCTCAAGGGTTACTGCTGGCTCTGCATTCAGGAATTGCTCCTGGTGGTGCTCAAAGGACTCTATGGTATGCTGGGGATTAACCCGGGTCTGCCCCATGCAAGGCAAATGTCCTACCCATTAGACTATTTCTCCAGCCCCTCATCTTTATTTTTAACACCAGACTTGATGGGCTCTATTATTTTCATTACCCCCTAAAGGGTCACAGCTCAGGTTGGTAAAACACTGTCCTGAAGGATTCTCAGGAATCCTTATTCAGCCTAATAAGGATTCTCAATCAGTTATGTGAGGCACTGAGAGTGATGCTAGGATTCTGCTGGTGCCATTAGAGTGGCTGGCATCACCCATAGATAATCAACCAGTATTATTAATATATACCTACTTTGTGCCTTGTACAGGTAGACACAGTTCTACCTGATGCTTTTGAGATGTTCAGAAGACAAAGCACTCACTGTTAGCGATCCTGTTGCCATTAACCAAACTTCAGAGAACAACCAGCACCCCGCCTCCCGCACACAGCCTCGCACTAGCGTTTCGGGGGTAATGCTCTTGAACACCCATGCTGAATGTATCAGTGACATGCTGGACTCTGCTCACACAAAGTGTTTCCAAATGGCCACTGGTCTTCTGGTTTCTTGCCAAAGCCATTTCTGCTAACCTTGACACACAGGTGGAAGAAGTTGGTTAGATAAGTGTGGGGAAAAGCATACCAGGGAGGTCGAATGTCTTACAAAATGGCACAATGCAGAAGAAAGAAGGCTGGAGGTAGAGTCAATGAAAAAGCTGGAACAGAAAGATATTGTTACTTGGAGAATGAATGAAGAGAGAAAACCAGGAAGCTGTAGGTTCTGATGGGCTCTCCCCAGAGCAATGTTGTCTAGAAGACAGAGAAACACTGAGGAGCAGGAGTGGGGGTTGAGGGCCACACCCAGTAGTCCATCCTCAGGGCTCACTCCTGCGCGGGCTCAGGGATCAAACCCCAATTTGCCACAGGCAAGGCAAGCTCTTTAATTTTTCTAGCTCAAACCGCTGAAGGCTTTCAAGCATATTTCTTAGATTTGCCTTTGTGAAATATTAATTTTCTCCCCTATCCAAAATTCAAAAAGCAGAGTGGTGAGTGGGCTGGAGGGCAGCAAACCTGGTCCAGGATGAAGCAACTCTGGAAAACTCCACTTTCATGGTACTGAGATCACCAACTCATAAAAACTTCAGTTTAGAAGCTGTATATTCCAGTAAATAAAAGAGATTATCTCGGGGCAGCAAATGGGGGAGGGGATGATATTATACCATTTGGGGACAATGCCAAAGTGAGATGGCAATGTCTTTTTCAGGATTATAGGTGAACCAAATCCCTCAGGATCCCGAAGGCGAGAAACTTTGGGTGTCAGCATGGATAGAGATCATAAAGCTGGACCAGAGGTGGGGGGGGGTGAGCAAATGCTGAGATACCCCTTGCCCTGCAGCTGCCTGAGCAGATGGTCCCAAAGACCTCCTTGCTATTTATGATTAAAATTTGGGGGAAGAGTAGACAAAAGCCCAGTATTGCTATCTGAAAGCCAAGAACAACCACACTTTCATTGACAAGAAACGGTCCCACGCTGTATCTTTATGAGGCATATACAAGGGTGTGTGTGTGTGTGTGTGTGTGTGTGTGTGTGGTGTCTCATTTTAGAAACATAAATAGAGACCATCTTTGACTTTCTTGACCTCCCCCCCCTCACCGCCACTACCCACCCAACCACCCAAAACCCTAAACTTCTTACAGGGAATGATGAAGGAACAGTAATCACCCACACATATTTTTTTGGCACAGAAGCAAAAATAAATAAATAAAGGCAGAAAATTCACATCATGCTGTCAGGACCAGTATCTTGAAATCCATACAAAAGAGATTCCCACTTACAATGCACAGCCACGGAGGTCAGTGTGGAAAGGAGCCCAGTGAGGAGCAAAACTTAATATACCCAAAAGGTAGTTTTTAATGAGCATTGAAAAATCTATGATTCAATAGGACAAATTTAAGTTTTTTTTTTCATCTCTCAAGCCCACACAAAACACTTAGCTTTCAGAAGCATTTTATCTAAGCTGGAAGCGCTCTAATGACAATTCAGAAGCCTTTACTCTCTCCCCAGGAAGCATTTCAGGTAGGACAATGGTGCAGAACACAACGCTGGTGTAATAGGTAAAGAATCTGGATGAACAAAGCATAAGAGACATGATCAGGTTGAGTTTAAAGAGCAAAAGCTCAACTACTTTTTTTTTCTCTTCTTACTTTTTCTCTTTCAGGCAGAATTTTTCATTTTCCATTTTTGAAAACTTTTCCAAACAATGTGAAAGCACAGCAAGGAAACCAAATAATGAAACGCTGTAAGTATTTGCATGCAAAGAAACTCAGAAAGCATTCCTCATCCTATGCGCACCCTATTATTATCAGTGCCGATGGTTTTCTTTTGATAAAAGTCTTGGTTGGAGAGACATTTGCAAAGCATTTTTAATCGCACTAAACTGCAACTTTTCTTTCCACGTGGCATCCAGTTAATCGGGTATCTTTTGCAACTGGTTAAAATTTTAAAGACCTTTAAAATGTGCCCACACATGAATCCTACAATTTAATTCTTCTCAGAAATTAAAAAATTTTGAAGGCATTTTGATGTCACTGAGAGTTTGTTTAAATGATGGCTTCATTTGTGCAGATTTTCATTAGTCATGTCACTAGTCTACAAAGTGACAGCTACTATCACTCCCCTTCAAAGGGGCATGATCATTATGATCCGGAGCTTAAATGTATTCAGTCTTGATGCTACAACGAACATGTACTGACAGAAACTACATTTCTAATCTAACTTTCTCTTCTACATCTTTTTCTCTTTTCTCTTCTTTCTTTCCCTACCAAACTACTAGAGACAGTGGATGGTAATAAAGAAAGAAACTGGACATTGGGACTCCTCAGAGTTGGATATGAATCTTATGGCAGTCATGTTCTCATAGCATCGGACATTCTTTTTTTTAATTTATTTATTTATTGAATCACTGTGGGAAAAGTTACAAAGCGTTCAGGTTTAGGTCTCGGTCATGCAAATATCAATCACATTTCCCTTTACCAATACTTATTTTTCACCACAAAGAACCCCAATAAACCCCCACCCCCCACCCCACCCCCAATGCCTGTGAGGCAGATGAATTCTAGTTAACACTCTGTCTACTTTGACTAGCTTCATTGCTTCAATAAAAGTTGCACCATTATTATTTAGAGTTTACCCCCCCCCAAATCAGCCATGCTGAAAAAGCATTGTGAAATGATTTGCTTTCTACAGCTGGGTTCAAGAATTAAATGATGTTTTGGATTTCTGCTATTTTACTTATTAACCCTGGAAGTATTTCTACTGAGAGTCAGATAATTAAGAGATTGGTTTCTGTGCTCTGGAGTCGTGGCTGTGCTGGAGAGCCGCTCGTGGAGGGCAACTGGTGGCCTCGGTTAGGGCGTGAAGGACAAGCCGGGAACGCCCCCCTTCCCGTGAGGTTTTCGCCCCCGGCTCATACCTGCTGTCCACAGGGCTCCCACGCGGCCGCCATCTTTCTTTCCAGAGAGGAGAGGGCGGAGGGGAGCAACACCCTTTCTCCTCCGGGCAGACATGATGGCCTGGATTAACGCATAGTCCGTTCACTTTTCTGCTCCAAGCTGCTGGGTTCTGCATTAAGTCCTTGTGCTTCTGGGGCTGTGGCCGTGCCGGAGAGCCACTCGTGGGGGGCAACTGGTGACCTTGGTAGGGCGTGAAGGATGGACCAGAATGCCCCCCCCCCCCCGTCCCATGAGGTTTTAGTCGCTCCCTCACCCCCGGCTCATACCTGCTGTCCACAAGGCTCCCATGCGGCCGCCATCTTTCTTTCCAGAGGCATCGGATATTCTTGAACAATATTTATCTTTCTAGAAAATGTTTTTCCCAGTAGTATTACATTACCAGCAGTAATATGACTTTCAAAACTATCAGAGTAAAGGGAGTTGTTAAAAAAATATGACAACATCTAGAGTACGTTGTAAATATTAAATGCTTTTTTTTAAATTCAGGGCTATTATAATCTATCTCATACCTGCTGTCCACAACCCACTTGGTGCTACTTAAATTTGTGACCTGGGAAGGGTCCTCAAGGCAAAAGAATGCTTACTGACAGAACCCAGCACGGGCTGTATTTAGTATTAAAAGCTAGTAGGGATCTTGAATAAAACTTATTGATAAAAATTTATTCATAAATTATGGCAAAATATTTAGACTTTTTAGTGTAGGTAGTAGCTTAAGTAGTTTTGAGTAAAGGAAAGGAGTAATGCAACTCAAAGATCAAGGCATTTTTACCTGACTTAATAAAGGCTCATATTTTGTAGAAATCATCTAGCAAATTTTCTTAAAATGCAGATTCCTGGATGCTGTCCCTAGAGAAGTTGGTTTAAGGTTTGAGGTAAATCAAGGGATCTGCATTTTAACAAAGCCGCTGGTGATTCTGATAGAAGTTAGTCAATAACCACATTTTGAAAAGCTGAGTCAGGAAATGAAAGGACTCTGGACTACGTTTATAAAAACCTGATGCTACCACTACTGACAAAAGTAGAAGGACCTGACACTGGAATAATACAGCAACTTGCCTTATACACAGCCATTATGGGTTCAATCCCCAGCACAACTAGAAGTGATCCCTGAGTATAGAGCCAGGAGTAAGCCCTGAGCACTGCCTGGTGCAGCCCCTAAACCAAAAAAAAAGTAGAGGAACCTTGGACAAGTCACTTACCTACTTTAATAGTGGTTTCCTAAACAATAAAATGAGGAATTTAATGAGATGGACTTAAAGGACCTTTTTAAAGCTAATATATAACCTATTTTCTTTGATAATTCTTTATAAATACCATTATTTCTTCAAAGATTTAAATTTGGTGTATTGACATCCATCTGATGAGTACAAAGAAACGTGTTTTCTGAATTTAGTGATAGGAGAGGTGAGGTTCCTAAATAGTTTTCATACAGAGCAGAGTCTCACCTAGTTTCAAATTGATAATTGTAGTAATCTACTCCTCTTTGGATCCCCAGGTCATAGATTTCCTTTATTGTTTTTATTGATCTGTGCTCTTTCCCTTCAGTGATGGTATTGTTCAAATAGCTCATTTCAACTCTCACTTATTGTACACACACTTCCTTCTAAAGAAAATGAGGAGCTGAGTTTTGAAAGTAGAGAAAACAGTCCTCTTTGAATGTGTGATAAACACATTAATGTGTGTGATGAGCCCTAAAGTAAAATGCATAATCATAATAGCAGGGAGGAAGAAATTATGCCCACTTCCTGATTACCAAGATGTTACTAGCAGACTGTGGGTAACAAGAAAGTTTATTGCACGGACACGCATCGTACTTTAGACATCCATTGTCCCTGTATTTGCTCAATTCCTCTCAGAGGCAGAATCAGTTTTAATGATCTATCATAAAAACATGTATTGAATATCCAGGCTACATTTGGGTGAGGTACTGAGATTTCAGAAGTCAATGAAACCTAATACCTTCTTTCAAGGAGATAAGACTGCTAAGATATACATGCATTGTCACATAATAACAATATAGCCTGGAAATTTCAATAATTCTCAGGTAGAGTTATGGCAGAGCAAAGGAGTGATAAGCTCATTGGAGCTGTAGACTCAAGAAAAGTTGCATTGACGATATTATTTTCAAGAATACGAAGGAATTTTTAACATGTATACAAAACAGTGTTAATGTTTATAATATTGTACGGATTACAGCACAGAATCCACTAGAAAGACAAAGAAATGCAAGACAAAGTCTTGTCTTCAAAGCAGAAGAAATAATATATTAAAATACAGATATGAAACCGAAGAACTTAATCTGAAAGCCATCTGCCACTTCATGTCACCCACCAAAGGGGAAGCTATGTAGGAGATTCACAAGAGATAGTTACATAAATAACAAACATTCACTGAGCACTTCATAGGTCAAGCATTATTTTAAATATTCTACATGTGTTTATGCATTTAATCTTTAGAGCAACCCTCAGAAAGGATATGGGATTATTTGACAAATGGGAAGCTCAAGGTGCAGAGCTATTAAGTAATTCTGCCAGATTCACAGCCTGTGAGAACTCCAACTCAGTATCTCCAGAGTCCATATTTTGAATCATGAAGCAATACCCGACTGCTTCCTAGAGTTAAGACAGGAAGAGGTGACAGTACAAATCAAGGGCATCTCAAGGATTCTGGATTTTACTCCCTAGTCCATGGGACCTAAAAATTGAGTTTTAGTTAATAAAAAAGCTTAAAGAATTCTGTGAAGAATAAACAATGTAAAGGAGAAAGGACTGAGAAAGATACCCAAGAAGAAAAGCAATTGTCCCATGAGAGAGCATGTAAACTTGAGTTCATGCAGTAGCAATGGGGTTGGGAGGGAGTAACGGGCAGAGGTGGGACTGTTTTTTAACTAGGAACAGAGTCCCTTTTCAATCCATTCTTAGAATTTGACTCGTACCCCTAAAAAAGTAACTAATTGATCCATTTATTCCTATTGTCCACACTCTAGTCTTCATCTTCTAGGTTTCTACTCATCTATCCTTATTTTCCATTTCTCAACTGGATTACTTGATTAGGGGATTTAATGTGTAAACAAGTCTTTTAGAGTTGATGAATCCTCAACAATTCTAGCCTTCCACTCCTATCTGCATTCTACTACAAACAACTTGATAGCACTTTGAATGGCAAATAAATGAGATAAATGGCTAAGGAAACGCCTAGAAGCTTAGACTTAACATGCATATGGAACTCTAAATTTGTTTTCCAAGCAAAATCATTTATGTAAACAATTTGATTACTGTATATTAAATGATTTCATACATGTTTATGTGTGTATATATACATATATATATAAAGAGAGAGAGAGAAATCTATTTCTGCATCAATTCTGAGCTCTCAACTTACCTAACAACTGAAATGTAAAACTGAGGCTGTTGTGACTTTTTTCCTTTCCTAGGATTATTTAAAAACAAAACAAAACAAAAGCAACAAAGCTTTAATTCTTAATTTTACCAGAATAACCAGAATCATAGGAAATCTCTAAGTTTGCACTGACCCTAAATACTCGTTCCCCAGTTATTCTGCCATCCTTTTGGAGAGTGAGCTGAGCACCTGGGACTATGACTATGGTTTCTGCTCGCCAAGGACGCTGCGCTGTGCCCCTGAACCAGATGCCTTCAACCCCTGTGAAGACATCATGGGCTATGACTTCCTCAGAGTCCTCATCTGGCTGATTAATATCTTCGCCATCTTGGGAAATATGACTGTCCTCTTTGTTCTTCTGACCAGTCATTACAAACTGACCGTGCCCCGTTTCCTCGTATGCAATCTCTCTTTTGCAGACTTTTGCATGGGGCTCTATCTGCTGCTCATTGCCTCCGTTGATTCCAGAACCAAAGGCCAGTATTATAACCATGCCATAGATTGGCAAACAGGGAGCGGATGCAGTGCTGCTGGCTTTTTCACTGTGTTTGCAAGTGAGCTCTCTGTCTACACCCTCACAGTCATCACGCTGGAAAGGTGGCACACCATCACCTATGCTATTCGAGTGGACCAAAAATTGCGATTAAGACATGTCATTCCAATTATGCTTGGGGGATGGCTCTTTTCTTTTCTGATTGCTATGTTGCCCCTAGTGGGTATCAGTAATTACATGAAAGTCAGCATCTGCCTCCCCATGGATGTGGAAACGACGGTCTCACAAGTGTATATATTAACCATCCTGATATTCAATGTGGTGGCCTTCATTGTCATTTGTGCTTGCTACATTAAGATTTATTTCGCAGTTCAAAATCCAGAGCTGATGGCTACTCACAAAGATACCAAGATCGCCAAGAAAATGGCCGTCCTCATCTTCACTGACTTCACCTGCATGGCCCCCATCTCTTTCTTTGCCATTTCAGCAGCTTTCAAAGTGCCCCTTATCACAGTAACCAACTCTAAAGTTCTGCTGGTTCTTTTTTATCCTGTCAATTCTTGTGCCAACCCATTTCTGTATGTGATTTTCACAAAGGCATTTCGAAGGGATTTCTTTCTGTTGCTGAGCAAATTGGGCTGCTGCAAAGGCCAGGCTGAACTTTACAGGAGGAAGGAGTTCCCAGCTTATGCCTCACCCTGCCAAAATGGCTTCCCTGCATCAAAGAAGCCTTCTCAATCCTCCCTGAGCTGTCCACACTTTGCTGTCAATACACAGCTGTCCCAAACTAGACTGGCTCTAAAGAAATGTTAACTCTGGTATCCAGAATCCTGCTATTGGATGTACATGCATATGTTAGAAACTTTCCCCACCAGTTGTTTTTCAATTAAATTCCTTTAACTGAATCACCACGAGATACACCATTACAAAGCTGTTCATGATTGGGTTTCAGTCATACAATGTTCCAATACTCATCCCTCCACCAGCGTACATTTCCCACCATCAATGTCCCCACTTTCTCTTTCACTCTCTCTCTCTCCTTCCTCCCTCTGTCCCTCTTTCCCCCTCCTTCCCCCCACTTTTTTTGGGGGGGGCATTATGCTTTGCAATACACATACTGAGAGGTCATCATGTTTGTTTCTTTACCTACTCTCAGTATGCAGTTCTTATTCAGAATGATTATTTCTGACTCTCATTGTCCTAGTGAGGGATCTCTATCCCATGCCTTCTCTTCTCCTCCAACACTTGAGGCAGGCTTCCAAATGTGGAGCAAGAAATCCTTGACAGAGTTCATCAATAAATTAACCTGCTGAAAATTCAGGTATGCAGGATTTGTGACGGAAATCTCCAGTCTTTCTCAGAGTTGGGATGGGCTACCTCTCCTCCACTTCCCTGTATTTCTGGAAGCCCCAGCAGTCATGTCCACATCCCAAAGCTGCCACCCCATTAAAAAAACAACTCCAGCTGTCCCTTCCTGATAAAAATATTGAACTTCCTGACATCCCATCAATTCTTTAATAGAGAGTTGATTTTATACACTTATTTAGATTTACTGTAAGTCTAAATAAGTTTATAAAATCCACTCTAAGATTAAAAATTAAAATAAAATTAAACTCTCAAGCTCATTCACCAACGTGACTGGGCACGAGCCGCAGGCAACCACAAGCTAACGTCTGAGCTCACAAAACAGTGCAGAGAAGCGATAAAGGAAGACCTCAAAGAGAGAAGAGCAGAAGTGCTGGTAGATGTGGCAGAAGCCGGGAAAAGCATTTGCAACACCTGCCTGTCCTTTGCCAACTATAAGACCAAGATGACTGCCCTCCGGTGTCCTGATGGATCTATCACATCCTCCAGAAGGGCAATGAAGAAGATTATCCATGACTTCTACTCGGATCTCTTCAATAGCCACACCCACCTGCCCACATACCAAATCTCACAGGATGGATATGTCGTTCTCAACGTTCTCCCTTCTGAAATCCAACATGCCATTTTGTTGGTAAAGAAGTGAACAGCACCCGGCCCAGACAAGGTCAGACCCAAACACCTGAAGAATCTGCTGTCAGTACTCATCAATACACTGGCTCGGCTCTTCACATGCTACCTGTCTGAATGCAAGTTTCCATCCCAATGGAAAACCAGCAGGACCATTCTACTGTACAAGGAGGGAGACATCCATGACATTGACAACTATCGCCTGATCTGCCTGTTGTCCATTGTCTACAAGCTATTCACTCGAGTCATCCTGAATAGGATTGGCAGAATACTAGATGAAGGATAACCATGCAAGCAAGCCGGGTTCTGAAAAGGATTCAGCACGATCGACCATATCCACATGGTAACCAAGCTCATTGAGGTTTCTCGGGAGTTCAAGATGCCGCTCTATCTAATGTTCATTGATTTAAAGACGGTCTTTGATTCTGTTGAGACTGAAGACAGTCATCAAAGCCCTAACCAAACAGGGCATTCAAGCTCAATACATCAGGATCCTCAGTGAGCTGTATTATGGATTCACGGCCAGGATCTCACCATTCTACGAGGAAGTGATCATTGACGTAAAGAGAGAAGTTCGGCATGATGATACCATTTCACCAAAACTCTTCAGCATCACCTTCGAGAACATCATGCGATGACTGAAACGGAAAGGAATGGGAGTGAAGATAGAATGTCATCAATTACATCACCTCCACATCGTCCTAATAACATCAAGCATTAGCCAAGCAGCATAAATGCTGGCCCACTTCGACCATCTATGGAAAGGTCTGACTGCAGCCAAATCTCACAAAGACAATGTTCATGAGAAATGGACTCGTTCCTGATGTTCCATTCACTCACAATGGAATGAACATCTCCAAATGAAGCAGTTATATGTACCTAGGTTGAGAACTCAACATGACGAACGACCTGGCACCTGAGTTATGCAGGAGGAAGAGAGTGGCTTGGAATGCCTTCAAGAGCGTCAAAGAAATAGCTAAGAGGACAAAGAACCTCCGGTTCCAGGCACATCTCTTCAACTCCACCATTCTTCCTGCACTAACATATGCCTCAGAGACCTGGGCCCTACGAAAATAGGATGAGAATGCTATTCGGGTCTCCCAAAGAGGAATCAAAAGAGCTATGCTTGGAGTATCACACTTTACTCAAGTGAGAGAAGGAATTCGGAGTTCTGACCTCCATCAATGATCGAGAATCAGGGACGCTGTCTCATTTGCCAAGGCGTCGAAAATCAGATGGGCTGGACATGTAATGTGATTTTGAGATGACCGCTGTACTAGAGCCATTACCGACTGGGTTCCATGGGATGTCAAAAGATTGCATGGCCGCCCATCTATGAGATGGTCAGACTTCTTCTTCAAGACTCAGTGAGTAAGGGGATGTCAAGTGATCAAATGATCATTTAGACTTAGGGACACTGGGCAAAAGTTCACAGTTCACAGAGTGGACTATATCCACTGCTTGTCTACGAGGGATTTGCTGTTGGTATATGATGATAGAAAATGAAAGGTGATTATTTAGAATTATTTTTAGCAATTTTGACCACAGTAATTTTTGTGTGGAACCTAGTATTTTAAAAGTGAAGTGGAGGAGCTAGAGACAGAGGACAGCAGGTAGGGCACTTGCTTTGAACGCAGCCAGCCCAGGTTCGATCCCTAGGAGCCCATATGGTCTCTCTGCCAGCAGTGAATCCTGAGTGCAAAATCAGGAGTAACCAACCCCTAAGCAGTGTTGGATGGATGTGGCCAAAAGAGAAAAAAAAAAACATTAAAAGTGAGGTAGGGAGGTCTGAGAGATATTACAGAGGTTGGGGCACTTGCGTTGCTTGTTTGAGGCTGACTCAGCTTCAAACCCAGACATCACATGGTTACCCCAGCATCTCTGAGTCAGCCTTGGGGTTCCCCAAGCACCATGGCCTACAGTATCAGAGCAGCACCTCCTTATCAGGCCTTGCATTGAACTGCTGACTTAGGTGGTGGGGAATCGTAGGAAAGGGCCCTGGGCCTCCTCAGCAATGCTTGAGTGACTATCCCCACCCCTAGTCCCCAAAAAGGATTAGGTGATAATGTAGCTGTTTTTAATGTTCTCATTTCATCTTGGTAGTTTTCATTTTGCAAAAATATCACTCCATAATATACAACATTTTAAGTGACTTGGTCCTTTTCCTCTGCTCATTTGAGAAACACATGTTAGAGGTACACTGTCGAATCTGATATTCACTAGACACAAGCTGTTAGAATAAAATTAAGTTTTAAATAGAGTTTTCCTTGCCCTAGCTGTATTCCAAGGTTCCATAGCTGCACATGACTACTAGCAACCATACTGGACACCACAGCAAAACATTCTCACTCTCCTAAAAAGTTCTCTTAGATAATGCTGTGCTAGAGACTTATCTGACCCATATCTAAGTTGGGTCATTTAAAATGTAATTGAAGAGAAGAATCTAAAGGCACATTTCGACTCATTTTAATGGGTTAGTATTTAGACTCTAAAAAGCAATAAAACATTAACTAGTAGGCAGTGAACTCCTGGTGGGTAGGAGGCAATCTCTTAGCTTGGGATCTTACAAGTAGTATGAGCAAATGTGCTAAACTAAAAGTTATAAAATGTACAAGGGTAAAATTGGGAGAGGCTATATTTTTAAGTTAAATAAAATATCTTAAGTATTAAAGCCTCTTTGTCAGGGGTTTTATTTGTATATGCCTTTGGCGTTATTGAAATCTTATTGTAAGTCAAACATATTGGCAAGTATTATATATTATTTGACATACCTAACTTACTAAAAGTCTATAATTCAGATATATTATATAGTTAAGGGGAAATTTTATTTCAATTAGCTCAAGTTCTCAAAACCAGTAAGATTCAATGAATAGGATTCAAACTCAACATTCCGATTTAAGATCCCAATCTCTTAGTCACTGTGTTTTATGACCTTCCATATTGGTAGAATTTACTTCTAATGAAATGAACAAATCCTAAGCATACCACTTAATGATTTTTGAGAAATGCATACTGGTTCTGACTTCCTCCATCCCACAGTTTAATTTTAACTACTCTAGAACCTCATATGAATTTAATACTACAGTATAAACTCCTGAAAGGCTTATTTAGATGAACACACAGTTTTTGCTCTTCATCTATGTTTCTGCTTGAATCAGTAGTTCATTCCATTTCATTACTGAGTAGTATTCCATTCTAGCAATATAACTGTTTTCTATTCTCTTGTATGTATATGGACTACTTCCAGCTTTAACCCTTGATTTATTACATAAATATTCATCATTAGACCTACCACAAATTAATTCACTTTTAACCTTTAGGTCATTATGAAGTGATTAAAATATATTGTAAAAGATTATAAACCTTACAAAGCATCTATTCTCCAACATACTTCACATTTCTGACTTTTCTACTCCATAACTACTTACTCGCATTTACTCAAACATAATCCTCTCTCTTTGGTAAGCTAGTATTGTAAAATTTTTATTGACATATATAATATTAATTAGCTATATTACTATGTTAAATATCATGTGAAGACCTTTGTATCACAAAATCGTATTAAATGTTTTTAACTAAAAAGATTTTCTTCAAAATGTGCAATATTTTTGTTACAAATTTCCTCAGAGATATCACCATGAACTTCCTCTTTAAAATTTAGCTTTCCATTTACAAATTGTAAGTTTATACTTAGTGGGTATGAACAACCGCATAATATTAACCTGCTACTAGCATGACTCAAAAGAAAATCCCCAACTAATTTCCCTAGTCATCACCCAATTAACTATTATTATTCATTCTAAAGTTTGTTTTCCTGTACCACTTAAAGGATGGAAACTGACTCCCTTGGCGAAAACTGGAGTCTCATTGCCCTGTGAAATCGGAGTTTTAAAAATTATTTTTACACATAGCAAAGAATATTTTACACATAGTATAAAGGGTAAAGAAATTGCTCTAAGCAGTGTTTGTTTGTCTGTCCCTAAGAAATTGTAAAAACTCAGAAAAATGTTCTTAGTATGTAAGGAGAGGTGGAAAGTACATAAGAAAGTACCATAAAACATATGAATGAGAAACAGTTTAAATTAGGAAACAGGACATATGCACTTTCACAGACTTCACACAACACACTGTAATATATAAAATAGAAATACTCTTTCCACCTATTAAAGAGTTAGGAGAACATCTACCATGATACTGCATTTTAAGAACTTGAGCCTACTTTATGGTACATTGCTTCATTATGCAATGAAAAATATTTAGTTTGGACATGATTTTTTAAAAAAGGTCCTGAAAGTAAACATAATCCCAGATCAAAGCCAAGTCATGGGTAAGCTCCACTGATTTATAGGGATTAATAATTTTCTTGTTTAAAATGAATTAGTAATTGTCTCTTAACTTCAGCATAGGACTAAAAACGTTTTTCTAATTTTCAGTAGTGAGATCACTTTAATGCGTCAATGCTATCAATTTCTTTGATGCAATAAAACAGATTTTAAAAAGAGGTTATTGTTATATAATAAAGACAAGCAAGACTTTCTGAAACTTTCATTTGTGTATCTACATCCATGCAAATATTTACTAGTCATTAAAGAATATTGAGTGCGGTTCCTTGTCAAAAATTTTTTATGTTTAAATCTGTTTCTCAGCCTTTTCTCAGCTACAGTCCCCTGGCAACCTTGTTCCCTTCCTAGTCTTGTGTCCCCCACCATTTATGTGAATTTTTTTAACCTGTGGCCCCTTTGAATATTCTAAAGGCCCAAAGGAAACCATATAGCCCTTGGTTGAGAAACAATAACGTAGAGATCTCAATAATTAATATTTTCTTGGAGCAAGAGCAGTAGTACAGCAGGTAGACCATTTGCCTTGCATGCGGTCAACTCAGGTTTGATCCCTGGCACCCCATGTGGTCCCCCAAATCCCACCAGGAGTAATCCCTGAGCACAGAGTCAGGAGTAATCCCTGGGCACTGCCAAGTGTAGTCAACCCACTCCCCCCAAAAAATTCATATTTTCTCTTTGCATTAAGGGTGAATAAGAAGGTGGTGGGTCAAAAATTTGGGGAATTTTAAAATTATCTCTTTATATTGGAGTATAAGGATAAGTATTATATTCTGAGGCTTGGCTTAATTTTGAAACAATACTACTTTTATTTATTTTTCATTTTCTTAAAAGCTCAGGGAAATGAGGGCACACAAATGGAGGGGCCCAGATTTTTTCTTTTCCTCTAACAAGAAAATATTCCATATAAAAAGGAATATTATCACAGTATTTTTAATATTTAAAAAAAATCACTGAAACTGTGAGTCAGAGAGAAAGTACAGGAAGCGAGACACCCGATTTGCATGTGGTCAACCCTGATTCCATCCAGGCACCCCGTATGTTCCCCCAGCGCCACTCAGGATTCAATTCTTGACACCTCCCCCACTCCCACCCCCACCCCCAAAAATCTCTGAAACAATTTAAAAGAGATTTAAAATTTCATAATGAAAATGAGAAAATAATTTCAAAATCAACTAATACTGTTTTTCCCAAACACTTGAACCAAACTCATTAAGCCCCAATTCTTTTTTTTTTCTTTTAGCAATCTCCAAATATTTTTTTAAATTTTTTTATTAGTGAAACACCATGAGGTACAGTTATAGACTTACAAATTTTTGTGCTTGGGTTTCAGTTATACAATGATCAAGTACCCATTCCTCCACCAGTGCCCATCCTCCACCACCACGGGTCCCAGCATCCCCCCCACTCCCCACACCCCCGTCCCACCCTGCCTCTGTGGCAGGGTATTCCCCCTTGTTCTCTCTCTCTTCTTTTGGCTACTGTGTTTTGCAAGAGAGGCATTGAGTGGCAATCATGTTTGGTCTATAGACTACTTTTAGCATGCTTCTCACACCCTGGGAGGGTCCTCACAACACCCTTTATTTGGTGCTCTCTTCTCTATCTGAGCTTCCTTTTCACCTAGCACATGTGGCTGGCCTTCAAGTCATGGAGCAAAATTCCTGTACTAATCTCAGCCATTCCTGGGTGTTAGTCTCCCTTTTTGTTGCTTTATGTTCCCCAGATGAATGCAATCTTTCTGTGTCTATCCCGCTCTTTCTGACTCATTTCGCTTAACATGATACTTCCCATGTAGTACCACTTGTATGTAAATTTCATGACTTCGTCTTTTCTAACAGCTACATAGTACTCCATTGTGTAAATGTACCAAAGTTTCTTTAACCAGTCATCTGTTCTTGAAGCCCCAATTCTTGAGGCAAAGCACTTGGTCAATAAATTCAGCCTTTGATGTACTCAGAGGTTAGTCTAGGGCAAAGACAGTGGAAAGCCTGAAAGGTTGAAATCAGGAAGATTAGAAACGTCTTCCTCTGCCCTGAGACATTTCAGGGGAGACACCAGAAAAAAAATTTTTTTCTTTTTGTGGGGGGAGTGGGGGGAAAGGAGTAGGAGGGGGCAATTATCCATGTGGAAAGATGAATATCACACTGTAGGTGCTATCTCTGTTAAGAAAAACTCTTGGAAGTTCTCAAGAGCCAGAGGATTTGGAAAAATAATAATGGTGGGGAAAAGAGCAAACACTCTGGAGCTGGAGGTGTGACTCGATGTTACAGCACTTGCCTGGCACATGTATGGCCTTGAGTTTAATCCCCAGCAACTCCTTCCCCCAAACGTTCAACTGTTCAAGAAAATTCACTGAAGATGAAGAGGACATAATAGGTGGAAAATCTGGTTAAGAGACCAGCCCATTCATTAATACTCACCCAGGAGTTGATAATTACAGAACAAAGAACCACACAAATGTTGTCCAAGGCCCAGAAGGAACCAATTCAGTTTTTTATTTTATTTTTTAGCTTTAAAGTCACACCTAGAGATGTTCAGGGCTTCCTTCTGGCTCTGTGATCAGGGATCACTCCTGGAATTGCTCAGGGGACTATTTCTGGTGCCAGAGATTCAAACCAGGGTTGGCCACATGCAAGGCAATTGCCTTGCGCGCGTGTGCACACACACACACACACACACACACACACACACACACACACACACACACACACACCCCACCACCACCATTTGCTTTTCTGGGTCATCCAGGGTTTTAAAATGTGCAAGTTCCCTGGGTAGGAAAGACAAGTGTGTGGGGGAATAATTTAAAATATTCAAGTAGAATTGCTATTAAAGAGGATCTTCCTGTCACCAGCTAGACACAGGTATGTAATTATTCAGGATCTTTCACAGCGACTCACTCCAGTACAGCCTTTCCATTTAAATAATAATAATAATAATAATAATAATAATAATAATAATAGAGGCTATGACTAACGCTGTGACCAAACCTAGGATTCTATGTCTAGAGACCATATAGAGTCATAGCACTAAGAATGTTGAGGGAAATGTTCCTTTGAGGAATTTTGGGTCTAAAATAAACTCAGAGGGGCTGGAGTGATAGCACAGCGGGTAGGGCGTTTGCCTTGCACGCAGCCAGCATGGCCGACACAGGTTCGATTCCCAGCATCCCATATGGTCCCCCGAGCACCGCCAGGAGTGATTCCTGAGTGCATGAGCCAGGAGTAACCCCTGAGCATCGCCGGGTGTGACCCAAAAAGCAAAAAAATAGTAATAATAAAATAAAATAAACTCAGAGGGTATTGAGGAATAGCTGAATTGAATATAAATTTGACAATATTCATTGCCATAGGAAAATGAGAGCTTTTTAAAAATATTTTTTCCATTCCCTAATGTCTTTGACGGGAAAAGAGTTCACAAAAAGATATATCACTGCAAGAAAAAGGAGAGCGGTGGGGTGGGGGGGGGAGGCATGAAACCTGAGAGGGAAAACCCAGGATGCCTAGGAAAAAGACAGATCTCTGGCAAGAAATTAACCCACTCTCTTGGTGCTGGAGCGATAGCACAGCAGGTAGGGCATTTGCCTTGCATGCGGCCAACCCGGGTTCAATTCTCAGCATCCCATATGGTCCCCCCGAGCACTGCCAGGAGTGATTTCCGAGTGCAGAGCCAGAAGTAACTCCTGTGCATTGCTGGGTTGACCCAAAAAGAAAAAAAAATGGAAAGGAAAGGAAAAAAGAGATTAACCCACTCTCTTACATGGTAAATTCAATAGATCCTCAGCAAAAATATCCGTGCTCAAGTATCTAAATTCAGCAGAGGTCTCACTGCCAAGGGACCCTCTGGGCTTAGACAGTCAGCATTCTGCTAGAGCCAGAGTGTAGAGTGAAAAACCAGAGAAGCCTTCTTAGAAGTTCTGCTTCTAAGCACTCCCCAGGAGTTTTTGTAGCATTCTGTGGGGTAAAGGGGGAGGAACACTGCCTCAATCTAACACATGGTACTAACTCCACCAAGAAGGGGAATTGGAATCTGATTTGAGTTTTCCTTCAAGAATAAAGAAACAAGACATTTCTTTATGTTTCTCCACACCTGATACTCTGTACTTAACAAGGGTATAAAATAAAACAAAGAAATCCTGTTTTTATAAAAGTGAATTAGTGGAATGTAAAATTATATACATTTGTATCTGCATCTGATATAATTTTATTAAATTTCATACAGTGAACTAAAAATCTGAGTAGCGCCATGCTGGATTATATTATAGAAAAATGTTGCACAATAAAGAACGTTTATGTGATACTGAGCTCATGCATTTCACCACTCTGCATCACCGATGGCCTTTGCAAATACATAGTCTCTCCCTCCAAAACACATAACACCATCTTTCAAATAGAACTTCCATTTGTTCTTGTTTCGATGAATCTAATGGGAGAAAAACATTCTAAATTAATTAATTTTACAAGCTAAATAGGTCTTTTACATTTATCTGCTTATCATATAGGATCATTCTTAACTGGTAATTCTTTAAAAATTAGGGCTATTGAAGATTATTTATTGATTCCTTTAGCAAGCATCTGATTTTCTGTGTGTCAGATATGGTTTCAGGTAAAGAAAATATATCAGTGATTTTTTTCTTTCTTTTTTTTTATTAGTGAAACACCATGAGGTACAGTTGTAGACTTACAAACTTTTGTGCTTGGGTTTCAGTTATATAATGCTCGAGTACCCATCCCTCCACCAGTGTCCATTCTCCACCACCAATGATCCCAGTAGCCCTCGCACCCCCAAACCCCCCACCCCATCCGACCTCTGTGACAGAGTATTTGCTCTCTCTTTACTTTAGGGTGTTGTAGTTTGCAACAGAGGTATTGAGTAGCCATCGTGTTCGGTCTACAGTCCACTTTCAGCATGCATCTCGCATCGCAAGCGAGTCCTCCCAACATCCTTTACTTTGTGTTCCCTTCTCTATCTGAGCTGCCTTTTCCCCCAGCATGTGCTGCTGGCTTCCAAGCTATGGAGCAGACCTCCAGGTACTTATCTCAACTATTCTTGGGTGTTCAACTCCCATTCTGTTACATTACATTCCCCAGATGAGTGCAGTCTTTCTACGCCTGTTCCTCTTTTTCTGGCTCATTTCACTTGGTATGATACTTTCCATGTAGAACCACTTTTTCAGTGGTTTCTTTAAAAAAAATAATAAAACAAAAAATTTTTTTAAAAGGTAAAAAAAATCCTTGTGAAAGAGTACCTATATAGAATGTTAAATGGTGTTAAGTGCTATGAATTATAAGGCAGGAAAATGAAGATCAGAAAACCAGGTAGACCTAAAGTTTTAATCAGGGAAATCAGGATGAATCTGACTTGTAGAGAAAACCCTGGAAGAAGGTGGAGACAAAGATCAGAAAGATACTGAATAAAGAACAATTTCAGCAAAAGGGATTGGAACTGCAAAAGTCCTGAGGAAAAACATGGTTACTCACAAAGAGTAAAGAGTTCAGAATGCTGATAATAAGAATAGAGGATAGAGTTAATATTATCAGGAATGAAGACAAGATAATGTTTCACTTCGAAGCAGAAATTCACAGCAAAGCACTATACATAGGTTAATTCTATCGGCTATTCTTTGGACTCAAAAATCATCCTAGAAATGGACAAAATTAAAACTAGGAAATCTTACAACTTCAAGAGATAGTAAATCATAAAATCATTTTCACTTATGGGTAAAGCACAATGAATCTTTAAAAAGTCTTAGAGGGGCTGGAGAAAATAGCACAGCAGGTAGGGCATTTGCCTTGCATGCGTTTGACCCGAGTTCAATTCCCAGCATCCCATATGGTCCCCCGAGCACCGCCAGGAGTGATTCCTGAGTGCATGAGCCAGGAGTAACCCCTGTGCATGGCTGGGAGTGACCCAAAAAGCAAAATTAATTAATTAAAAATAAAAAAATAAAAAGTCTTAGAGATGATCAGAAATCAAAGGCTAAAATCAAACATGAAAAATAGGTGCTGGCTGCAAATGCTGAAATCAATGTGAGAACTGTGACTAATATTCCAATGTATCTTGGGAAGTACAAGAAAACAAGGTATAAACCTCTATTTGTGTGGCGGAAAATGTCCTAATAATGAAAATTTTTATCTCTGAGATTGGACCTCAAATTTTCCTTGGCACATAACTTTAAAAGTAACTTCTGGGAGAGCCAGAACGATCAGACCAGGGTGAAGGCTCTCACCTTACATGCGTCAATCCCAGTTTGGCCCCTGGCAACACAAAGACCCCCAAGCATAGGGTGAAGAGTAGCCCAAAAGCACTACCGGCCATAGCCCAATAAATAAAAATTAAAATTTACTTTTTCAACTTTGCGAACTTAAGAGTAACTACAGAATTCTGAACTCAACACAGATGGTAAAATCTGACCAGAAATAGAACCCTTTCCGCAGAAACAACTTATCCTAATAGCTTTATCAAATTTAAAAAATTAAACACACAAAATTCCAGCAATCTAATGTGATCTTATGAAAATATCAACAATGCTTATTTAGATCCAAACAAGCTATAACTGAGTCTAAAGTGAATACACAAGAGTATTCAGGTAAACTCTAGAAAAGGATATTTTGAAGAAGTCCTTAAAAACCCTGCCAGATATTAAAAAATAAATCAATGTACTACAACCAATGGCTAGACAAGCTGGTGGAATAAAATAGAAAAGCAATAGATCTTAGAATGTATAAAATTTAGTAGCTTAAAAAAAGAATCTTTCTATTGTCAATGGGAATAAAATGTACTTTTTAAGTACATTGACAATGTAAGTAATGCCAGGAAAACTGTGTAGCCAATTATAAAAAAAAAAATAGCTCTAAGAGTATGTCACATGATACACCAAATAAAGTCACATTTTTTTAAATAAAGCAAAAAAAAATACTGAAAGCATGCTGAACTTTTAAACTACTGATATAAGAAAGAGCTTTTTATTCATGACTCAGAATTTCGGAGCCATAAAAATGAAGGTCGACAAATTCAGTATCTACATGAATAAAAGCTCTAAAAGCAAAATAGCTGAGTAAAAAGTATTTCTGCATATGCCAGGGGTTCATAATCCCCCTCAATAGTACAGAGCTCCTAGAAATAAATTTAAAATATAATTTGGTTAAAATGAAGGCCATAAACCAGCAGTCCACACAAAAGCAACACAAATGGCCCTTCAACAGATGAAAATGTAAAATTTCAAGATATTATTTTTTTTTACTTTTTATAGTAGCAAAGAGTCTAACACTTTGTTAGACTCTATTGGCAAGACTGTAAGAAAAGCAGCACCATCGACCGTGATAACAGGAATATATACTGGAACACTTCAGAAGGTCCTTAGGCATTACAAAATAACTACAATGGCCCTATAACTAGTTTTGCCATTTTGGGAGTTTTATTTCATACATATGTCTTCACAATTAAGAAAGCATATCTTCACACTTACAAACTGGTGTACATAGTTACACAATAGCAAACAATTAAAAGTAGCACAAATACTCAATAGAAAATTGCCTAAGTTTTAACACATTGAGAGATCATACAATTATAAAAATATTAGCATGCTGAGTGAAATGAGTCAGAGGGAGAGGGACGAAGATAAAAAGACTGAACTCACGTGTGGGCTATGAAAAGAAATAGCATGAGACTAATACCCGGAACAATGGGAATAAGGGCAACGAGGAATGGTTCGTGGTTGGAAGTTTGTCACAAGTGGTGGTGCTGGGAAGGCAACTGGGATGGAGAAGGGACCACCAGGACAAAGACAGTTGGAAATGGTCACTCTGAACAAAAACTGAGTCACGAAAGGAGGTAAAGGGACAAATATGATAACCTTTCAGTACCTGTATTACAAATTATAATGCCCAAAAAGGTGGGGGGGAAGGGAGAGAGAAAGAGAAAGTGGGGGAGAGGGAAAAAGAGGGAGAGAAGGGGGAGCAAGAGAGAGAAAAGGAGGAGGGAGAGGGAGAGAGACAGGAAGAGGGGGAGGGAGACTAGTGCCCGCAGAGAAGTAGGCTGGAGAAAGGGGGGGAGGGAGGGAAACTAGGGACATTGGTGGTGGGAAATGTCACTGGTGAAGGGACAGGTGTTAGAACACTGTTTGACTGAAACCCAATCATGACAACCTTGTAACTGTTTATCTCATGCTGATTCAATATATAATATAAACATATAGACATATACATATATATATATCAGCACAAAGATCTCCCATGTTAATCTATTAAAAAGACGTGGTATAGAACACACCTATACAATCAATGCTCTCTATGCTATTCAGGCTCCTACTTGAATAAAGAAATGTTACAAATGTTAAATAGATTAAGAAACTAATAAAATGGGCTATTTTCTTGTTCTCAATGAAAAGACAGAGAGCTGCTAATAGTAAGCACAATACTGAAGGAACAAGAACCAAATTGTCCAGGGCCAGAGTGATCATCCAGCAGGTAAGGTGCTTGCTTCACATGCTGCTAACCTGGGTCTCATCCCTGACACCCCAAATAGTCCCCAAGCACCACCAGGATCGATCGGTGAGTGCAGAGCCAGGAGGAACCCCTGAGCATCATCGTTTGTATCCAAAAATAAACAAGAACAAAAAGAAGTAGATTTTACATGGCTTATCTTTTATAGTATTTTTATTTTCTAGCCACAAAAATAAACATAATGTACAGAGAGAATTTGTTAACTGTTTACCAATTACTCATTGTGTTATCACTAAAGGTGAAATCCAATAATAAACCAAAGTCTGTTCACTGATGAATGAAACATATTCTGTTTACATTCCACTGTATAGAGCTATTTATAGCAGAACGCACCCTCAGTCTTTGTCACATTAATCCTTTGTATAGCATCCTTATTTCTTCATATTAATTGCTATTCCTGAGCTTCTACATATGTCTCGACCTTTCTCACCCAATATACACATGAGTGACCTTTGCTTGATCTTTTTATTGCACGTCTTAGTATCTTAACATTTTTCCATAATTGTGACTTTTAAGTTTTAAAGTTAAATCCCATTCAAAACCATATGTGGAGTGGGGGAGGGGGGAAAAGTGAAAGAAACCACAACAAAATCGCTCTTCTCAAAGTTTAATGAGGACACAAGTCACCTAAGAATATTAAACACACACTCTCATCCAGGAGGCTGGGCTAAGACTCAAACTTCTGTTCTCCCAACTGATGTCTTTGCTTTCAAAGCACATGGAGTAATAAAGCTCTTCTAAGAGTCTGGTACATTCAATGCTAATTGAAACAAGCTTGCCAATGAGCAGAACACAGAAATTCTGCTTTTATAAAAATCAGTGTCGCCCCTACTCCGTACGATTTTGGCCTTACAGATATTTCCTCTTTGTCATCTGTCTTCAACTTTATCACTCCCTTTTAAAAACCTTTCAACTGCTCCCGCATGCCCTGGCTTCCATTAAATTTTAGTACTGTTCATAAAATATTCATTCGTTTAAAAGTACCCTTGGACAACTAGACTTCTTAACACTGTGCATTTAATATCAATATGCACACTGTCACTGTCACTGTCACTGTCCTCCCATTGTTCATCGATTTGCTCAAGTGGGCCCAGTAACGTCTCCATCGTGACACTTGTTGTTACTGTGTTTGGCATATCGAGTATGTACACTATTCACAAGAAATTAAGATAAGTTTTAAAGAACTGTTCTGAGGGCCAGAGAAATAGTCTCATAGGTAAGGTGCCTGCTTTGCATGCAGGTTCCATTCCCGGGACCCCACATAGTGCCTGAGCCCCTTCAGGAGTGACCTCTGAGCGAGAGTAAAGAGAGCCCAAAGCACAGCCAGGCAGGGCCCCAAAACAAAGTAAACAAAATATACTGTCCCTTTTCTATTGCACCTCTTTCCCTCTGCTTATGCTTACGAGGATCCAAATGACACTTTCTCTCAGACAAAATATTACATGAAGAAAAAAACTATCTTAGTTTTAGAGAAAACAATTCAGTATTTTTATGGAACTCTGAAACATTAGCATCTCTTTCCCCAATGTATACTGAAACTGATACTGAAAAAAAAATCAAAGGTGTAAATCTACATTAGTCTTCAGAGAAATGCAAATCAACACCAGAATAAGACATTTCACACATACTAAGATGATAAGAATAAAAATGTCAGATGATGAGTTCAGAGATATAGTACGTAGGCAGGGCACTTGCCCTGCATACAGCCAACCGGGTTCAATCCTTGGCATCTCATATGGTATCCGAAACCCCTGGCAGGAATGATCCCTCAGTACAGAGCCAGGAGGAAGCCCTGCGCACCTCTGGTTATGACCCCAGAACAAGTCAGATCACACAGGTGGTGAGAAGATGGATCAACATCAACTGTCATATGCTGCAGGTAGGAATAAGAAAAGTTTGTCCATTTCGGAAAATGGTCTGGTCATTACTTAAACTATTGCCATATGACCCCGGAGTTCCACCTTCTAAAAAGGTAGCAAGATAAAAGCATATGTTCACGCAAGAAAAAAACACTGTACACAAATGTTCTTTCATCATTTCCAAAAGGCAGAATATTCCAAATGATAACTACAGATACCATCAACAGAAAATGAGTCATTACAGACAAACATTGTATATTTATCCAATGGATGGACTAGTATTCAGCAATAAAATGGTTACATGCTATGATACAGGTTAAGTCTTGAAACACAATGGGAAATTTTTTAAAATCCATTCATGCGGTCTACAAATTCTATTATTCCTTTTACAGGAAACTCCAGGGTCAGGACGTTGATAGAGAGGGAGAGTGTGCAAATGTGAACCTTCTCCCTGAAGGCGGGGTGGGAGGAAATAAGAAGACAAGGAGTGACAGCTACAGGTCTAAGGTTTCTGTCGAGGTAATAAAAATGTTCTAAAAATTGATGTTATTGACAACTGCACATAGAAAATAACATACTAGGCAGCACTATACATATTAAGCAAATAAATTATATAACATGAATTATATCTAAAAAGTGCTTTGTGTAAAAAAGATGCAAACATGTGTGAGTTAAGGACATACACTGATTATTCTACATCATTATAACCACATTTTTAAAAAGAAAAACAGGAGTGTTGTATTTTAGTTGCTAAATTGTTGTTAACTTCTAGGCTAGAAACCTACAGACACACCCCTCCCCCCCGGCCCCCCTCCCCGCTTCCCCTGTCATCAGTCCTAATGTTGAACTCATCCTCAAGTTCCAGAGTCCTTGCTTCACAGTCTCTGGCTTTTCCATAGTCTACATTTGCTTCCCTAATTTTGTCTCTGGCCTCTTTATGTCTTCACTGTCCCCATTTTTCTTACCATTTGTTTCTTCCAAATCAGCAAATACTGTTTTAATTGGTGTTTAAGTCCAATTACAGTTTTCTTAGTAACATTCTGAAAAGGCTAATATCCATTCAATCAAACTTGGATTTCTCCTAGCAAGATTCAGGATTTTTCAGTTTGCTCCCAATGCTGCTTCCCATTCAGCATTCTTTTTTTTTTAACTTTTTCATTGAATCACTGTGAGACAGACCCTTACATCCCTCTACCAGTGGGCATTTCCCAGCACCAGTGTCCCCAGGTAGCCTCCCATCACCCCCCACCTCACTCCATGCCTGCCTCTATGGCAGGTGTTTCTCTCTATCTCTCTCTCTCGTCCCTTCTCTCCCCTCTCCCCTTCTCTCCCCCGTTCTCCCCCTCTCTCCCCCCTCTCCCCTCTCTCTCCCCTCCCTGTCCCCTCTCTCCTCCCTCGCTCCCCACCTTTTGGGCATTGTGGTTTGCAATACTGATACTGAAAGGTAACAAGAATATCACTTTACCTACTTTTAACCCTCAGATCTTGTCCAGCGTGATCATTCCCAGCTATTATTGTCATAGTGATCTCTTCTCTATCTTACCTACCCTCAGACCCCACACACTTATGGTTCGTTCCAACCATTGAACAGTCCTCCTAGTCTCTGTTTTCCCTGGCCATGGATATTAGTCTTCTACTATGTGTTTTTTAATATACCACAAATGAATGTAGTCATTCTGTGTCTGTCCCTCTCCTTCTGACTCATTTCATTCAGCATGATACTCTCCATGCCCATCCATTTACAGGCAAATTTCATGACTTCATTTTTTCCTGACAGCTGCATAGTATTCCATTGTGTAGATGTGCCATAGTTTGTTTATCCATTCGTCTGTTCTTGGGCACTCAGGTTGTTTCCATACTCTGGCTCTGGTGAATAGTCATTCAGCATTACTTCTCAGAACACTTTATTCAAGGCAGAATTTTCCCATGTGTCCACTCTGAGTGCCCTACAATCCACATGGATATGTATCTGACAAATCATTCAAAACTTCAAAATTCCTCATCACCCAACAAGGATTTGTGGGAAACTCCAACTACAAATGACTTCTCCCATTTTTCTAGCCACTTTTAGCACTTACTATCTGTGGCACCTACCTTAACATTTGATTTATATGCTAGTTTGTTGTTTGATTTACCTATAATGTATTTTAGCTTTCAATGTAACTCCCACCATGTTGTATGCCTTACTATTATTCCACACAGAACTATCTTGTTTCAGTGGGGCTGACTGTCATCTCCTTAAGATAAATATTACTTTTGATTTTCTTATCACTGAGCCCACACAGCACAGTGTTAGGCTCAAAGTTTACCCCCCTGAAATATACACAATTAGCTATCTCAAACTTAATTTAACTGTGAACTGTAACTCATCATCATAGTTCTCATCATTTCATTTCTTTTTACTATAAATGCAATTAATAGGAACTGGAGCAATAGCACAGTGGGTAGATTGTTCGCCTTGCACACAACCAACCCGGTTTCGATTCGCAGCATCCCATATGGTCCCCTGAGCACCGCCAGGAGTAATTCCTGAGTGCAGATCAAGAAGTAACCCCTGTGCATTAGCAGGTGTGACTGTAAAAAGCAATAAATAAATAAATGCAATAAATTAAGCCCAAATTCAAAGGTTGAACATAGTACCTTGTCATACTGACAGACAATCACATTCTCCGTGTCAAATAGGTCTGGCACATCCTGTTCACTGACATCATCTCCGGAATTTAAAGGGTCCTAAGGATGACAGATGGTCACACTGAGGAACGTCATGATGCTTTGAATTTTTTTAGAGAGACCATACAGAGATAATGAAACTTGGCTCATAGTATTTTTTGTATTAAATCTAATTAATCTGAGTCTCAGCCTGGCCATCTAACAACTGCAACACTAACCTTCTGAGTTACTGAAACCCCCACATACCTCAGTTTCTCATCTGTAAAATAAGGGTAGTAATAAGACTCAGGAGATACTGGGAATATTAAATAACCAAGAGCAGATGAAAGTATGGTCCCAGAGCTGGAGCGATGGTACAGCAGGTCAGGCTCTTGCCTTGCCTGCAACCAAACCAGTTATATGGCACCACGTATAGTCCACCAAGCACTGCCGGAAGTGATCCCTGAGCACAGAGCCAGGACTAACCTCTGAGCACTGTCAGTTGTAGCCTCCAAAAGAAATTATTATTAATATCTGATGCATATATAAAGGTAAAGGTAAAGGTAAAGGCCCTCCCGTTGATCGTCGATTTGCTCGAGCGGGCCCAGTAACGTCTCCATTGGAGACTTTGTTGTTACTGTGTCTGGCATATCGAATACTCTCGGTAGCTTGCCGGGCTCTCCGAGAGGGGCGGAGGAATCGAACTCGGGTCGGCCATGTTGGCCGCTTGTAAGGCGAACGCCCTACCCGCTGTGCTATCGCTCCAGCCTCATGCATATATAAAATCATCATAAATGACAGTTGATACTATGTACATGCTTCTTAATTACTCATAACTACTTTATTGCATTTATGAGGAAGACAGCATATGTTATACATTTCTAACCAGGCTGCCTTTGTTATTTCTATACCTATCATCTAAACTCCCCATTATCTTTAGCTAAGATAAACGTGGTACATAAGTCCTAAGTACTCAATGCTGAGCTTAATTACCCGTGCACAAATAAGTCTCATTTTAAATAATGGGCAGGCTAGTTTTAATTGTCAGTCCTTTTGATTCCAAAGTATATTAAAGTACAAAATGTTATACATTTCATTTTAAAAGTGATCCATGTAAGATTCTTGGCTTGCATGCGGCCCATGCCAGTTTGATCCCCAGTATGGCATACGATACCCTGGGCACTGCCAGAGGTCACTCCTGAAGACCACTGAGATGGCAAAAACCAAGCAAAAGGTGATTCGTACCTCTTCGACAATGTCTATTTCAGGGTCTTCATTATCACTGCTGTTGGCTGTTGAATCTTCATTTGATGCACTGTCGGCTTCATCTTCAAGAACCTTCAGATCTCCTGCATCAATAGCCCCTGGAAATTCATTCTCATCTAAGTCTTTTTTAGTTTCTATTTCATCATTGGAAGATGTATCACCAGCTCCGTCTATTTGAATTATTCCATTAATGCCATTATCATCCACCTGAGCATTTAAATCCATTTGAGAAATAGAATCCTTAAGAAAGGAAGAAAATGCAATAAAATCAGGCTACATATCTAAATGTTAAATCACACGAAAGTTTTAACATATTAAAAATTTCTAAAGGACACTTTAAATATATATTCCTTTTAGATGTTATTACCTCCTAATTTTCAATTACATAATACCTAGCATTTCTAGAAATAGAAAAATTTTTTCTACTGCAAACACAATAAATCCACTATAGTCATGTACATAGCAAATGAGTACAGATAGTCTTAGGTATTTATCAGTGTTTTCTATGCCATCTTAAATTCATATCATACCTGTAGTTTTATTTGACATAATAAAAAGGCCCTCCCATTGATCGTCGATTTGCTCGAGCGGGCCCAGTAACGTCTCCATTGGAGACTTTGTTGTTACTGTGTCTGGCATATCGAATACTCTCGGTAGCTTGCCGGGCTCTCCGAGAGGGGCGGAGGAGTCGAACTCGGGTCGTCCATGTTGGCCGCTTGTAAGGCAAACGCCCTACCGTTGTGCTATTTGACATAATAATTCAGTGAAATATAAAGAGCAAGTAACATCATGTTCCACTGATAAGTTAAAAAACATAAGGAAATGGAATTAGTTCTATGTTCATAGTCACCCTGGCAAGGGAGTTTCTTTCTCTTCGACTTTTTAATAAACCCTTTTATTTTCTGAAGAAAAAAATACATATAAACATAAAGAATTGTAAAAAGTAAATAAAGTCAAATTCTAATAAAAATTTACAGAGCTGAAAGAGAAACAGATGTATAGAATTATTGCCAAAGAATTCAGCATTCCTCTCAATAATAACCAAACTGAAATCAGTAAAAATGTAGAGTAAAACATTCAGTGAGAATGTGAGCTACACTATCAGCCAACTTAATATAATTTTTAACATTATAGACGTCTCCATGTAGAAACAGAAAAATGCATTCTTTTACAGAGCACATGGAATGTTCACCAAGCTATTGTCATAAAACAAATCTTGACAAATTTCAAATACACAAAGGAAAGGCTACAAGTTCACTGGAATTCAGAAATCAGTAACAGAAGGTTCTAAAAAATCCCCAGAAATTTTAATGCATTTATTAATACCCATTAATCAAATAATAAATCACAAGGAAATTAGAAGAGTTTTAATTAAGTTCAAAAAAATAAACTTTCAAAATAGTGATGTAAACTTAAAGGTAAGGTAAAGGTAAAGGCCCTCCCGTTGATCGTCGATTTGCTCGAGCGGGCCCAGTAACGTCTTCATTGGAGACTTTGTTGTTACTGTGTCTGGCATATCGAATACTCTTGGTAGCTTGCCGGGCTCTCCGAGAGGGGCGGAGGAATCGAACTCGGGTCGGCCATGTTGGCCGCTTGTAAGGCGAATGCCCGAAATAGCCAGAGGAAATTTTATAACATTAATTGTTACTAGAAAAATAGCAACAACAAGAAAAACAGCTGAAATTCCAGTTTGAGAAATTAGACCAAAGCAAATAAGGAAATAATAAATTTTAAAGTAGAAATAAAATTTAAAACAAGTTATAGAAAATACAAATAAGTCAAAAGTTAACTCTTTGAAATATACATGATAAGCCTCTAGCCAGACTAATAATAAAGAGAGAAAATAAAAAGACCGTATTAGAAATTGAAAGATCCTGAAAACATGAAAAAAATAAGAAAAACGACTATGCCATTTGGCCTGCTATAACAAAATACTACAGACTGAGTAGCTTACAGACATCAGAAATTTATTCTCATAGTTCACAGGCCTTGGAAGTCCAAGACCAAAACACCAGAATACCTGATAATTTGAGAGAGCTTTCCTATTAATAGCTTGTGATTTTCACTCTGTGCCCATCTGACAAAAGGACTAGAATATCTTACAAAAAGTTACTAACTGGGGCTGGAGCGATAGCACAGCAGGTAGGGCGTTTGCCTTGCACACAGCCAACCTGGGTTCAATTCTCAGCATCCCATACAGTCCCCTAAGCACCGCCTATGCACGAGCCAGGAATAACCCCTGTCCATCACCAGGTGTGACACAAAAAGAGAAAAAAATGTCATTAACTGTATTGATGAGGACCCCAATGCCATCATCTAAACATCACCTATCAAGGTCCTGCCCTCCTAACTGCCATCTCACTTTGGTGACTGGGTAGCAACAAATATGAATTTGAAACACTCAGACCACAGCAGAAATATACTGCAACCTTTCATTCAATCAATTTTGCAATTTAAATAAAATGAATAAATTCCTTGAAATACTATTCAACTTGAATAAGTTTATTCAAGACACTGGTAACCTACTTTGTCTCCTATTAAAGTAAATGCGATGCATAGTTAAAATATTCCCACAAAGAAAAATTGTTTCTTCCAGAAACCAAAAGTGGTACAAATACTTTTCAACCCACTATAAAAATTAGCATTACCCTGACACCGCTAAAAAAATATACAGACCAATATTCTTCATGAGCATGATAGCAAAAATTCCCAGTGAAATTTCAGCAAACTGATAGGATCCATGAATAATACAATATAACTGAGTGTATGAGAGTTTTATCTTGTGAATGCATTTGAAAATTCAACATTAGAAACTCAAAGTATTTCATCATTAAAATGGTACATTTGATTTCAACAGATGTAGAAAAATCTTTCGAAAGCTTCAACACCAATTTTTAAAACCTGAGAAGAAAAGTGCCTGCCATAGAGGCAAGCTAGGGTGGCAGGTGTGTGGCAGGAGGGATACAGGGAATATTGGTCGTGGGAAATGTACACTGGTGGAGGTGTGGGTGCTGAATCGATGTATGACTGAAATCTAATCATGAGATCTTTGTAACTATTCTCTCACGGTGATTCAATTGTTTTAAATTTCAATAAAATTTGATCAGAAGAAATTTTCACCACCTGATTTAGGATATCTAAAGAATAATCTACAGCTGATGTAGTAGATAATACCAAAAAATCGAGAATTTTTGCTTAATATTGTAAACAAGATGTTTTCTCTCACCACTGCTATTTAAAATTTTATCCATTACTTATTTTTTCCTGTTAACATAAGTAAATCTAAGTAAACAATACGCTTGGACTCTAGTTAATGAAATACATTGTTTTGAATGTTAATGAAATAAGCCAAGGGAAAAAACATAGATTGGAAATGAAGAAATTTAATTATCTTTATTCTCAGAAAAAAATACTGTGTACATAGAATTCTATTCTGCTATTTAAAAAACTTACAGTTTTTCAGGTCTCAAAAACTTTCTACAGAAGCAATAAACAATCCTACATTGAAACTTAATAACAGTACCACCCAATTATAAATTGAGATTTAATCACAAAATTTAATAAAAATCCCATGATTAGATTTAAAAATAAATATAACATCTATGAAAACAGTCTATATCCAAATGGCAAGAAACAACCAATGCTGAGGGGATGTAGTTACAAAAGAATTCCTCAGTAACTATCAGTGAGATTGTTTCGTCTCTCTGGAAAACAGTATGGAGACATATCAAAAATTTAAAAATACAACTATATTGCCCAGTAATTACATTCCTCAATATCTATCCCAAGAGCACGGATGAAATTAGATTGTGTCATGTTAAACAAATACATCAGAAGGAGAAAGACAAGTACCAGCTGATTTCACTCTTGTTTGGAATATAAGGAAACAAAAGTAAGGGAACGGATCATGTTCCATGAAAACAAACTTTTGAAATCCAACAACACAATTGTATTTTGGTGGTGGGTGTGGTGTGATGACCCTGTACCCCTCAGACATAAACAATGAGTCTAAAATTTTTTAATCATTGTGCTCACTTCGGCAGCACATATACTAAAAATTGGAATGAAATAGAGAAGATTGGCATGGCCCCTGCACAAGGATGACACGCAAATTCGTGAAGCGATCCATATTTTTTTGGTGGTGAAAAATGAGTACTGGTGAAGAGAAAGGTGTTTGATCATTGTATGACCAAGACTTAAACCTGAAAGCATGGTAACTTTCCCACAGTGATTCAGTAAATGAATATAAGAAGAAAAATAGATAAAATTATGAAAGAAAAAAGTAAGGTGGAGTTCATGCCCAATTCAATCAGCTAATCAGTGGCTGAATAAATAGCAGTACTCCTACATTAAAGATTTTTTTTCAATCATTGATTCTTAAAAATAAAATAAAAAATTAAGGTTTTTACTTATTAGAAGAGAATTAAGATCAGATATAGTGTACTACCAATTTTACATGAATAAAATTATAAAAATACTAAGAACAATTTTATGTCAACAAACTGGATAATCTAAGCAAAATGGGCAAATTCCTTTAATAAAAAGCACTATGAAGAAATAAATACAAATTCTGAATATACAAATAGTAGATTGAATTAAAAAAAATTAAATCGCTCAGCAAATAAATATCTAAGATCAAATGACTCCAGTGGGAAATTCTATCAAATATTTAAAGAAAAATTAACAATTGAGAAAAATACCTTTATAAAATGATTTAACAATGTATAAAAAGGATCATAGGCCATACATGACCACGTCAGATTTATTGTTTGGATGGATAAATACATAGAGAAAAAAATCAATAAAATACAATACATTAACATAGTTAAGAGGGAAACACAATTATCTCACTTGATACAGAAAAAAATACATTGACAAAATTCAACACCCTTTTTTAGCACTGTCCTCCCATTGTTCATCGATTTGCTAAATCAGCGGGCACCAGTAATGTCTCCATTGAGATTTGTTACTGGTTTTGGCATATCAAATTAGAACACGGGGAGCTTGCCAGGCTCTGCCGTGTGGACAGGATTCTCTCAGTAGCTTGCCGGGCTCTCTGAGAGGGACGGAGGAATTGAACTCGGATCAGCCACATGCAAGGCAAACGCCCTACCTGCTGTGCTTGGGCTGGAGCGATAGCACCCTTTTTAAATAATTAAAAAATTCAAATAGGAACAGAAGAAAATCATCTCAACATAAGCTTTTCTACTAAGACTGGAACAGGCAAGGATGCCTATTCT